CTACATTTCACCCTAATACTAGAGTCCTTAAAATTGTCGGCGGCCGAAAGAATCGTCGGCCGTCGTGAAAAAGTAATGCCCTTTTCATGTAGTGCACGCGATACCATACCTTGTCCGGCTTAGGCTCACGTACGTTTCATTCGCCACCTCCGCCACCACTTCCGCCGCCACCCCGTTGAACCTCCCCGTAAGCCCTCCAACCCTCACACGATATCCCGCCTCGACTAGCTTTTACCGCTCGACCAGAGACGACGCGAGTCTTTATTTTCCTCGGCGACGCGCGATTCCCAAGAAAATACCCGATAAGATCGTCAATTTCAGTCTTTTCCAGCGGCGGTGGCGGCCCCCGCGCTTGTTAAATGCCGACCTTTATGTGCGTGCGTTGGCGCGCGGGCCCATGGGTAACGAGATTTATTTATCACCGACGAGGCGGTAAATTTTTCGTTGATCAATCGCAAAGTTCTTACTACGCGCTATTAATGCCAAGGGGATAGATCCATTTACGCAAACTGTTATTGCCATGTATGCACGTCGCCCCATGTCCATGTTACACGACCATTGAATGCGATGCAAAATAAGAATAAGAATAAGAAGAATAAGAAGAATAAGAAGAATAAGAAGAATAAGAAGAATAAGAAGAAGAAGAAGAATAAGAAGAATAAGAAGAAGAAGAAGAATAAGAGAAGAATAAGAAGAAGAAAGAAGAAGAAGAAGAAGAAGAAGAAGAAGAAGAAGAAGAAGAAGAAGAAGAAGAAGAAGAAGAAGAAGAAGAAGAAGAAGAAGAAGGCGATGATGATGATGATGGAGAAGAAGAGGCTGGAAGAAAAGGTGGAAGAGCATATTGCGCTGAATTTTCTGTGATTCATTAGTATTCGTGCAATAGTTGACTCCGCTGACTGCAAGACTTTCCGAGTCTTTGAGAGCTTGAACTACGGCATTATTAATTGACTCGCGCCTTCCTACCGAGGATTACAATTAAATTTTTATGTTTCGTTAATTGCGTGATTGCTTTCATTGAAATCAATTGCTGATCGATGCTGTTTTCGATGCCTGTGCCTTTCATATATATATATATATATATATTTAAAAAAAAAACAGAAGATGTATGGAATAGGTACCAAGTAAACCGCAAAAAGCAACGATTCCGTTGATCCGACAGATAGCGTAAGAAAGATGAAGAATCAATCTGGTTGCGATTAATATTAAACAAAATTTGCTCGACCATAAACGATATAAATTAAAATTTTTATTTTACATTAGATCGGAAAATTCAGATTAGAACGCTAATATATAAAACTTTCAGTTATATCTGAAAAGTATATCTGAAAAATTTTTGTTTTCCATCGAGACCGATTATTGAGACGAAAATGCCAATATTGATATATTAACGTATTTTACCAACCTCACAAAGTATTTCACATCTAATAGTATCAATTTTCGGTCTTATAAAAAAATAATAATGATAATAATAATAAGCTATATAGATTGAAATTTTTTATTTTTAATGGATATAAAATTTCTTTAAAGTTTTATGACATTCGTTAAGCACTCGGATAATATTCGATGAGTCTTCATGGGGCAAAATATCGATTTCGACTTTACGAATCTTTTCAATTTTCCGTTACGCAAACATGTATGCGCCTTAGCCATGTGGATTAGTTCTTCGAGTACGAATATTTAAAAAGCGATATACGCCGATGGAAAAAATAACATAATAAATCGAAATCATCGTGTTAACGATAATAATCATAATTATAGCTCAAAAAACAGTTGTACATCGTCCGTCTAATATTATTTGATCGTCGGATCAAAATATAAGTGTAAGTATAATGTCTCTTGGAGACTCGTATGGTGCTTGAATTTTATGCACTCTGCTCGAGAGAGGACGGTGGCATTCGAGGATTATTTTATTCGAGCAAAAATGAAACTTGAGTTTTAAAGTACAAAAGATCATGCTCCATCACACACATACACTACACCCCCAATCCCTCGAACCATCCCCACAGCACCGTTCTGCCCACCACCGAATCCCCCGTCCTGGTATAAAGCAATATACGTTTACCGCTTTTGATGCGTTTGTAGCGAAACAATACATCGACGTGCAATACGATCACTTGACTTCCTATAATTCTTTACCGACATCAACGACAATACGGGAACATGAGAAAACTGTCTTTCACTGTGTCGCTCAACGACTTCCTTCTGGCTAAACTCGACCTCCTAAACGCCATCCCTTCCCACTTTATTTTATCACTCGTACGTTCTTATATTGGATCCTTTTAAAAAATCTACTTTAAATATGAAACAATATTGCGAAATACTCTTATCCACATCGAAAGTCTATCTATGTCATTTGGTTTGTATATTTATTAATTATATATTGCAAATGTAAAGAAACCACGAGGAATTTGTTCTAATTAATTTTTAATGTTCATTTAATTAATATTAGTATGTATTAATGTTTAAGATCCTAACGGGGGATGTATTCAATGTACAATCCCTCCGGGAACTTAATATTTTTCAAGTGACCGAACTGATGCACATCAACTCCACATAATCATATTAATCAATCGAATTCATTATTGGAACGTTAATGTCAATCGATTTTATTTTATTATTTACTTTCGTTCGAATCATCTCGCACAAAATTGTGCTTTTAATACTTTGCAACATTTACAAAAGGCAGGTTATTGAGGATTTGTATATTAGGGGTATTTGATTTTGGAATGTCTGGCAGACTTCCATAGCAATAATATTATAGTCGACCTGTAGTCTCGAGAAGAATTTCAATTAAGTACTAACGGCGATCATATGTAATTCACTACGTACAATATGCACAATTATGCATAATTATTTCGGATTAGTGTCTAGCTGATTGATGCATTTGTTGTCATTGTTACAATATCGAATTATCAGCAATGAATTTAGACACTAATTTATAAATATTATTTGTCGTCCCATAAATCCTTAATCCGTATTAAAGTCAAATTATATATAATTCATCGGACTAAAGTGAGTGTAAGCTCACGTATGCATAGGATTAAAAAGAGTGTGCATTAATTAAGATTTTATTGGTTAATCTTGGTAGTTGTATAGTGAAATCGTAACAATAGTTAACGATTAACGTATAAAGCGAAAAGAATCGTGTGTGCTCCTCGATTGTCGGTCGAGTCAATCCATAAATAACGGGCTCGGTGATATTTTATTTTTTTTATTTTCTTTATTTTTTTTAAATTATTCATTACCTACAAATAGAGAAATGAACACATATGTTTTCTTAGAATTAACAGTCGGAAAATAAATAAAAGTAATGCTCCCGTGCTGTCACGTTCCGGAGAATTTTCGTTCCAAGAAGCTCCCAAGTTCATAGTTTAATACTGAGCAAAATTAGCCGTCAGGAATAGCCATCAGGAGATAGAAAGAAAGATGTGCGTGCGTGTATTGTATACATAAACTGAAAAAAAAAAAAAAAAAAAAAAAAAAAAAACACCGTAGCAGAAATCAAAGGGTAAACAAGTACAGCAACCTTATCATAGTGGCTTCTCGGCTTGTAATGCGAATAAAAATATCCGAGGCGCGTGAGACATAACAACTCTTGTATTTAAAGAGGAAAAACACGTGAGCTAGCATTGAATTATAATTCGCATAAGATTAGAAATGTTCGCTTTGGGCTCCGGGGAGAGAAGGGGAATAGAGAATGAGAAAGAGAGGAAGACCGAGGCTAAATGCGAGAGGATTTGTGGGAAAACGCAGGGAGAATTCCATGCGGATAAAGCAATTAAAGACTATGGATACTAGCAGCTTTTCTGTATTTGCCAACGATTTTCCTCCAATTACCTTGTTGTTTGTTGTTGTTGTTGTCGTCGTCGTCGTCGTCGTCGTCGTCGTCGTCGTTGTTGTTGTTTTTGTTAAAGATGTTTCGCGGATTAGCCGGCCAAGTCACTTGGGCTTATTTCGATTTAATTCTATGGTCTTCCGCTCGATAATGTATCGCCTTCCAGCAATATCATCGCTTTAGCCCTGTTTAGCTTTCCACTTGGTTACACGTATTTTTTTCATCGCTAACAAGTATTTTTCTCCGAATTATCCCGTCTCTCGAATTGCCATTTTTTTAAATAAAAATAAAGGGGGCTAAACATATTTACATTGCGGTAGCCTTCCTAGTATAGAAAACGTAATGGATGAAAGCAAACTTTTGCTCCGACGAAATTCGCCGAGTGCAATAGAATATCGATAATACGTGCTGAATAGCGGAAGCATTTTTTCTTTAGCGCAGCCGACAAAGTCGAAGGATTTTATTCGATTACGAAAAAAAAGAAAGAAAAAAAAAGAGAAAAAAATTAGTATCAATATAAAGTGCGATTTGCAAAGATTTATCCAGGGATAATAAAGAGGCGTGTTGCAGCAATACGAAGAGCACGTTTATCGCGATAAAAGTTCCCAAAGTATATTACAATTTGCCTTAATGTCGGCGATAAAGTCATTTGTTACAGTCTATTTAAAATAATGTTCAAAAATATCGCAAATTCGTTCGATATTATTGTTTATTATGATTGTCGTCTGTTACGATGGTCCTGCTTATTATTGCTTAGTAGAAAGGAATTTGTCTTTGCGTATCTCTATACGCTCAATTGATGCGACCATTTAAAATTTAATTTTCAATCAACAATTATTACTCTATAATGATTGGTAATCATTGTATGTCAAACATTCGCAATATTGCTGGATAATTGAGTATAAATATGACAATGCCTACACCTAAGATTAACAAATGCCGTCCACGGCATTCCGAATGTACTTTCTCAGGCTTTTAAATAAGCATTCGAATCTCTGTACGCGAAATAAATATACCACGAATACATAAAGCCGTTTCGTTATATTCGTCGTTTCGTGTCATTCTCGAAAGGGGCGCGCGCGCGCGCGTGCGTGTTTTGTGTTTACAACCAAGCAAGAGACGAATAATCTGTTTTTAATGTCATTTCTTGCTATTTGTCTTTTAGGTGACATGGAGATCCTGGCCTACTTCTTCGGACCGATTGGCGTTCTCTTGGCGATAAATCTCCTATTTTTCGCGGCGACTGCCCGAGAACTGACGTGTGGTCTGTGGAAAGGCGAGTTTGTAAAAAGCACGACTGAAAGGTAAGTTGAGATTTCTCAAACATAAAGACTGTTAAGGGAAAAAAACATAAAATAGTGAAAAACTGTGTAAAGCTTCTAAGCGCAAAGCAGCTTTCTTTGCGCAAATAAAGAGAAAGAAGAAAAGAGTGTATAAAATAGCACTTCCCGGGACTAATGGGATAATGTATATGGTAAAAACAAACAGTATTTTTGCTGGAATTTATTTCGTTTGAACCGATACCGATATAAATAACAAGAAAATAAGAGAAGAAGAAAAGAGCCGGACAATGGTATTGTAAAGAGATTTTTAGACTTTCTAATTTTACTTAATCTCGTGAGATAAGTTATTTACATATTTATAAGCTATCGTGTGTATTTTTGTTGGAAATAATGAAGCTTATGTGATTTTTTCAAAATCTTTCGTCAATGCTGCGAATAAAGTGCTACAGCTATCAATTCGCATATTATCGACAAATTTTCACTTCCCTACGATCTATGCGATGAATAAAGAATTTTTAAAATTTTTAAAAGAAAGTCTAAATTTAACGAGCCAAACGTTAATAATAATGAATAATAATGAAATATATTAATCATAACAATTATCATAGAAATAAATTTAATCGACTGTCGTAAATAAATAGGCAAAAGAAACTCTTTCATAGAGAATAAATTTTCTGATTCGACCGTATAAAAAGAAATGGTAGGGAGGCTCTATCATCGCTCTCCTGGTTTATCGTTCCAAAATCTGCCTTCAAAGTCCAGAAATAAAAATTATTATAAAATATAAAAATGAAAGATGCGCGCGCGCGCGCGTGTCTGTGTGTGTGTGTGTGTGTGTGTGTGTGTGTGAGAGAGAGAGAGAGAAGAGAGAGCTTGTGAATTATCCCCAATTATCAAATCCAGGATTGTTCAATCGAATTTCAAGTCACTCGGCTTTTTTAATAATAGACCTGGCCCCCGTCTTTTTAACCTTTGGAATCAAAGAAAAAACATAACAGCTGCAATGCGAGGTGGAAAAGGAGCTCGTCCGCTTTTTTTTTTAGATCAAGCCGTGGGCGAATGTTCGTTTCACTCGGCGGCCATATACACCTGCGCGCGATATTAGTCGGTGGGACCGACCTCGACTTTCTTCCCTCGCACGAGATCTTTTCACGGTAATTCGCCCTGGGCAGAGGTGGAGAGAATTTCATTTTCAATGCTGCCCTACACCGCACTCTGACCAAACTATTTTTCTTCGACTCGGATTCTATGCAACGCTCGACGGCACTGAAACTTTAATGTTCGGCAACGGCTCACCCGGACTTACGACGAGCACGTCGAGATATCGAGGAAGAACGGACGGACGGCTCGCAAAAAAAATATCAAAAAAAAAAAAAAAAAAAAAAAAAAAATTACGTATTCTCGCTACATTAAAATAAAACGAAAGTAAAAGAACAACAAAATCCTTGCCTTTTTTTTTCTTTATCTTTTTGTTTTTTGTTCTCCTATTGCGAGTAAACTGCTGCTGGCTTAGTGTCATTGTAACATTTAACCGATAGTTAAAGCCTGCCGTATAGATTTTGTCTCTCGACTGTCACATAAATAAGCTAAAGGTAATTAAAAACCTAACGATGCAATGAAATATTGCGAAAATGAATTGGGACAATCAATCTGTATTAAACATTAGAGTAGCTGCAATTATTTTTGCCATTGAGGATAAAAATTTCAAATTCTACTGCACAGCGGAAATTGATACGGACTGCAAGCCCAGCTCCGTACAATTTTCAATCAAGCTCACTTCCAACTAATCGCTCTCTAAATTTACGAAACGCATTATCACGACCACTCGAATGCCAGTGATTTTTATCGCTTCGATATCCCCGCGTCATCGTAACGAAACATTTTTCCATGCCACCTCCTCAACTGAAGCCTACCAATGCGAATTAAGCGTCAACTACTACTACTACTACTACTACTACTACTACTACTACTACTACTACTCCAACACCCGTAAAATTACTCTCGCGCGGCACCACTTCCATGACATTCGATTATACTCCGATTAAAGCGTGCGCGCATTAATGCCCCGATTAATCGCTCCGGTCCGCTCGAAGATGAATTTAGACCCAACGCGATCCGCTCGCCGCGCGTTTTCAAGACACTTTCCACCAAGCCTTACGAGACTACCCACCCTTCTGCCTCATTCGTCGCGTTAACGTCACTTTCGCGCCTCCCGTAAATCATGACACGTAGCAAACGCAGAGGTGGGGACGACTGCATAGCTCGTGTCGCGTTACGCGCAACTTCGGGTCCCGGTCCGATGGGACGGACGGCAGCATACGCGAATGATTAACGTCACTAACGTGTCTCGCCTCGACTGCAGCCTCGATTTTTCTATTAATAGGACAATAGGAGAATACTAATGCACTATTATGGATGAGGGGCGAAAGGG